GTTTTATGCTCCTGCCATCATCCCGTCTGCTGCCTGCCTTCCTCACTAAGCTTCTAACAGCAGGGAAGTTCGTGGGCTCCCCTTCCTCCATTTCCTGGCAGATCTCCCCATCTAGGTATGAAGGTCTACTTTGGAGGGGGTTTATTAACAGATGATTTTAAAGATAGTTGGTGTCGTGATATTTTGCTCTTTTCCTCTGCCTGGAATTTGGAAACGCCAGCGTTATGCAGTGCATGGATGGTCGTTCTCATGGCAGAAATGCACCATTTTCTTCCCTTGAATGACACAATTGCCTCCTGGGTTTCGTCTTGATCTGTCCCACAGGAGCTTGGCGTGGAGACTTCCTGGTGGTGCTGGATGATGGTTCGGATTTGGGTATTCGTGAAGTCAGATCCTCCATAGATTTTATCTGACACTATTTAGTAGTGGGAAAAGACCCACTGACCCAACCAGTCTGGAAATGACACAGCTTTCAAAAATATCCCAGTAAAGTTGAATGCCTTCTGGCTTCTGGTAGATGGTGATTTGGAAACCTTTGTGGAGCAGATAACTCTTATCCAAAAGCAGAATGCAATTTCTGCTAGCAGCACTGGGAGAACAGCAGTTGTTTCTGAGTCAGTGCATCAATTATTTATCCTTCAAAGAAGCACCTGGTGGGCAGAGGAGGAAAGAATGCCACTGAACACTCCCGCTTCATGGATGGAAACTGTCAACTTTTTAGGTTTGTGCCTTTAAAGATCACAGATCTTTGTATGATCATCGAACAAACGTCTGAGCTGCAGAAAGTCTGAGCCCAACATGAATGGCTGAGTGCTGAGATATGAGCAAAAGGGGATGTGAAGTGTCCTTCCTTGATGTTGCTGGGTAAAATAAAAATAATCTCTTACCTACTATCAAAACCTTTTGTCTTGTGTAGGGAAGTGGCAAGGCCTGGATTTCAGTACTGCAAGTTCAGATGGATGAAAGCAGCTCTCAGGAAGGATCTGGGCCGTGGGGAGTTGTGTTTGGCTGGGCCCAGTGTGGTGCAGCACACAGCACAACTACCAGCAATGGCCAGGAGCGATCATCAGCAATGAAGGATCAAATCTGACACACAGAGGTGTAACTCCAGGCTCCTCGACACCGAGTGTCCTTTTGGGCAGCTGAGTACACTCTGTAGACCTTTCCCTCTCCAGCAATCTGAGCAGACCTCTTGTGTCTTAGTCCTGCATTGGTGCAGCCCTTTCTCATGCTTCAGAGGAGGCATTTGCCTGTAATTGCTGTCACGTTTGGGTTAGTGATCTTCTTTTACTCTTTCCAGGGATTTTTCCTGCCCTCGGGTTAGACAAGGCTGTTGCTCTCTCCTCTGAGAGTGAGGGCTGCGTGCACTGCTGGGGGCTGTGTTCCACCTCTGTGCAGCCCCAGGCTCGCTCTCAGCCAGCAGCAGGAGAGGGCTGGAGGTCCTTCGTGTGCGTGCAGGGCAGGCAGCAGGTGCTTGGTGCAGGGGATGTGGGGCACGGGAGTAGGAATGGCAAGGTGTTGTGTATTTTGTACGTGCGTGGTGTGACAGCTTGCATCTCACGCCCAGATCTTCCTTTCCCGCTGTGTTCATCAGGCCTACTCTGCATCTGTGGATGTGTGCTGTACACAGGAATCTGAATTGTGACTGTCATAGCAACATCCTCCTCCTCTTCCTCTTAGCATTCAGGAACATGGGATTAAGACTTATGGCTTGATTAGTTTGGGGGTGAAGGGTGATGTTGGAGCACCAGCACTGCATTTAGCTCCAGAAGAGCTGCAAAGGTAAGGTGGTGCTGGGCAGAGAAGGCTTCATGCTGCTGCCTGTCCCAGGGTGGGTGAATGGGAGCTGCTTCCTGCACAGCTGGGTAGTGCTGACAGCCTGAGTGGATCCTCTCTGAGCTTGGCTCAGGCAGAAGGGGAGAAGGAGCTGAGTGCAGCAGGGGTCTGGGCAGAGTCTGTTTGGAAATGTGGCAGCTGTGTGCTTGTTTTTATTTAACTTCTAATTATTTCGTTATCTGCTTTATCTTTGGCACTTCTGGGGATTAATTCTAGCAGAGACTCCATCCTGCGTCAGCAACTTTTAAGTTGCTCTGTGAGAAGCGTGATGCCATTTGGAAAAAAAGAAATCATTTTCCATAGTAATTAGAAGATACTATTGTAAAATTTATGTCAATTATCTAGCACTTTGTATGGAGAGGCAATGGCCTCTTTGTAGCCCAGGTGACAGCAGCCTTTTCATTACAGTGAGGAATGTTGCTATTCAGTTGGATTCACTATAGAGAAATGCTTGGGGACAGCGAGTTGTGCGTGCAGCTTAGCGTGGGGGAAAGGTTTGTACTAAATCTGGAGGAAAGAAACCAATTGAAGGACTCCAGTATAAAATGCACATCAGGCTTTTAATGGAATAGGAAACCTTAACGTCTCTTTTAGCCTCCTTCCTGTGGATGTGGTTATGGGCATGGTGAGGATGGGTTGACTGGAGCATCTTAGGGGTCTTTTCCAACCTTGATGATTCTATGACTGTGATCTCAGTTCTGATGTTTTCTGCTCTTCCATGGAGACTTCTAGGGAAAATGGGTTGGGCAGGATCTTGAAAGAGAAATGCGCCACTCTTGAAGTTAAATTCTCCTAGGTCTTTTGTACTGGAGAAAGGCACAGATGAAGGTATTGTGCATTTAACTCGCAAGGACACCCTTGCAGTCGTTTTCCTGAGCAGAAGTCAAAGCAAGTGTAAAAAAGGCAAAGGATACCAGCTCAGGATGTTGTCACATGGAGGATGTGAGTGTTTGTCATCTGTACAGAATGCTGATGCCTTTCAAACCTTCATGTTAGAAGTTCTTAATACCTTCTGCTGCAATCTTTAACCTCTCTTCTGTCTAGCAGCTGCATCTTAAAGAGCAGATGGAATTGTCTCGAGGATGGCAGGTCCTAATCTCAGTAACAGCTCCTATCCATTACAGAGTATAAGTGAAATGATCTGTGAGTGGGTTTATCTCAGATCCCACGTAGCATTTTTTCTCCTCAGCAGCAAGGAAGGGAAATTATCAGGCAGTGAAGAAAAGCTGTTTATTTTTAACTTACCCTTTCTTTTTAAGTTCTATTTCATAATTAAAAAAAGATAAGACATGGAAACCAATGACTGTTCACAGCTAAAGGGATAAGCTGATCTCAAGTTCACTGCGGAGATCGTGATAAGGAATGAGTAACACGGCAGGGCTTGGGGTCTCTCACTCCTTCCCTGTCCTGCTGGAGCAGCACAGAGTGGTGAGCTGCCTTTCAGAGGTGGCACAGGATGGCTGATTTACAGGGTGCTGTTTACAAGGCTCACTGCTGCCTCAAGTGAACTGCTCCTCACCTGTCAGACAGGGCTGCTCCCCCGTGTCTTACTAATCTTGGTCAGTTTGGCTTCCTTCGAGTGACAGTAGGACAGCCCTCTGATTCATGCCAGCTGCTGGATGCTTTGTTGCTCAGCAGGTGCATTACACTTCTGATCTCTGTCCCTAGTGGATAGTTGTACCCTAAACTACATCATTCCTGTACCTAGCGTTCTGTCTTCCATCATTGCTCTTGGCTCTGTATTTTTTCTCCCAACTTCTGCACACAGCAGTAAGAGGGCCAGAGTGAATTTGGAGTTGGCTGTTACTGCACAGAGTTCTTCCTTTGCCAGTAGAGCTGACAAACAGAATTAGGAAATGAGTCTTCCTGGAGAGGTGACTGCATGCTCCTGCAGCAGCAGGACACTGACAGGCTGTTCTGAAATAACCTCACAAAACACTGATTCCCTCCTCTGACTTGTCTCTGCAGCGCTGGAGGGCAGTCGAGCTGTGAAAAGAGTGCCATGGGACCATCTCACCAAGCAGCCACTTCTGAGTCCCTTTTTTATGGCCAGCCCTCATTTGGGTGATGTCCTTTGAGTTCTGCCATAGTGGGAACCTCGCACTTAGCCTGCATAGGGCAGGGTACTCTTCTTTTCCACTTTGCACCCTATGTCATGCTCATGGCTGCGTGTAAGCTTCTGTAATGCAAACTTCAGATGCTGATATTGTTGATATCTGTGCTTCTGTTAAGCTCTGAGACCAAGTGGTAACAGCCTAGGTTTCAAGCATACGTTTTACCCAGGAGTACTGAGCTATATGGTTCCTGGTAGGAAGATTATTGCCACTTGCCGTCTCACAAATGCTTTGAGGAATGGATTTGTCCAAGCAGTGCTTTGAAGCTAAAAAGTATTGTGGGAGTGCCTCTTGCTGTCCCCGAGACAGGAGAGCAGATAGTTCAGTAGGGCAGAGACGTATAGCTACGAATTTGCAGTGCTGGGAGCAGAGCAAGGCAGCAGCATAAGCAGAGTGATTTGGCTGCAGCGACTGTAGGCAACAAAAAGGTATCTCCTGGGCAGGAAAACCTGGATGTGCAGCTCCACTTGTTTCTAATGCCAGAATTCATTACAGGCTTGGTTTTACCTTGGTGTCTATCAAGTTTGTTCCCATCGGCAGAGAAGTGCAGTGCTCAGTGTGGAGGCTGAACTGAGCCACTGTAGAAGCCGACGTTTAAGCAGATTGTGAATTGTAATTAGCAAGCAAGTGGTGTGCTGACAAACTAGCATCGTGAGGAGCTGGGGGTCAGGCAAGCCTGTGTTTGCATAGTGCCTACTGCGTTACGTTTGGGTGTGTGCACGTGGTGATTAGCTGCTTCACTTAGTGAGATCACATTTACAGCTCCTGTGATGTAATTGCATTTGGGAACTGCTGCTGCCATAGTTAGAGGCTCATCCACTATTCTTGTGAAAGCAGAAACTCTGTAGATTTGAGGACTGTTCCTTACTGGCATTAAGAATATTTTCGTGCCCACCTCCATTTTATTAGTCATGTACCAAATATTGACTGTTAAAGCCATTTATGTTGCAAAAACAGGTGCCAGAGATGTGATCTACCCCAGCCTTGTTGTAAGGCTGTGCAAAGGCACCTGCAACTGATTCTTCTGCTGCATTTGACTGTCTTTGGCAGGTTTTGGAAGTGGTACGCTCCAACTATGACACGCTGACCCTGAAGCTGCAGGATGGACTGGATCAGTACGAGCGTTACTCCGAGCAGCATAAGGAGGCTGCCTTCTTCAAAGAGCTGGTAAGCTGCAGAATCAATGGCTCTGTTCTGAAGCTTTTGCTTAGGATCTGAGTGGAGGCATTTGGGGTATAGTTGAGCAGCCCAATTTGTTGAGGGCTGCACCCAAAGGTGGGGCAAGGAGTTGAATCCAAACAAATGCTGTGTGTTGGCTGATCTGAAACCCTGTAGCTCCCTGCCCTGCAGCATATGGCTAAGGAGGAACCACCAGGCTGTTGAGGCCATCAGATAGTCTCTGTTCCTTCTTTGTGTGGGGATCTAACGTGCTTTGTGGTGATGAGTGTGCATGTTGGAAGAGCTGACTTCTTGATTTTATTGCATAGAGCACGAGTCTTTTTGGTGTTGTTAGTGAGGCTGCACACTGTGGGGCTGAGCAGCGTGTGGTGCTGGTCACACACCTGCCTGCACAGGCTTTCCTCCATCACTCCCAAAATCAGGTTCCCAGGGAAAGAAAGCAACGGCATTCTCCATTCTCTAGCAATGTCCCTTCCTTAGAGAAGGTAAGTGGTAGGAAAAAATGGTAGGAAGCATAACAAAAAGCAATTCACTGAAGACAAAGCAGCGTCCATATAATCTGGGCCGGTGTTCTTCAGCAGGCCAATTTGCTCGCCCTGCTGCAGGGAGCTGCGTTTTGGTTGTTGGGTCAGGGCATTTCCCATCCAACAGAGCCGGTGTTTTTGTAGTAGCCCTGAAGGAAAGCCTGGTTTTTCCTCGCTTTAAAATCGTTTCGACTTGAGCGAGAGGAGCATTCTCTGACTGGCAGCTCTTTCCACCAGTTTGAGCAGCGATTGTCTCTTGCAGCTCTGTCCGCTGATTGATGAGTAACTGAGGCCAGCCCACTCCATCATGAGCCTGCATGAGTCTGGGACTGTTACGCCTCCTTCTGTCTAATGTGCTCCAGAGCAGGCATGCCTGAGTTGCTTTTGATCCCTTATGCAGCATACTGTTTAACCTTTTAATGTTTTTTAGGTCGTTTCAGTACTAACCACCGAGTTAGGATATGGGCAAAAGCCATTTCTGACCACTTTTATGTTTTTCTTTGCTGCTTTGTGCCTGTTCTTTTTCCTGCCTTGCTGTTTGATACCATATCCAGAATGCACGTGAGGTAGCCTCCTTGTAACAGGCTTCTGTAGCCTGGCAGTAGAACACATCCATGTTTCTGCTGTCATCTGCTCTGTCCCAGGGGTTCCTGCCCTCCTCAGCCAGCTTCTCCTTCCCCAGCCTCTCGGCCACGTGCTTCCTGTGTGCCCTGCTTTCCATTTGGCCTGGCAGGAGCTCTGGCTGATTGATTAAAAATGGCATACTCAGCTCTAAGATCATCACAGCTACAAAACAGTTTGGCTGTTTTTTTTTTTTTTTTCCTTGTAGCCCCTTTTTTCTGTATGCGTGATTCCTCCAAATTATGCACCATTTAAGAATCTGTTTAACGTAATCCAGGCCCCCCTCTGAAAATTACCACTCCAGCCACCCCTGGGACCTTCTCCTCAAGAGCAAGTGATGCCTGAATAATTACTGTCTAAACAGGCTGATTGACCCAGTTGTGAAACAGTTTAATCCACACTTCTCTCGATGCCCTGAGAATTGGGACCCTATTAAAGGTTTTTTACTCACAGCTACAGAAAATCCCCTGCTTTCCATTAAGCTGTTCCCTCAGCACAGCAGGAAATCAACGTGATAGGTTATGATTTGTCTTCGGCAAACCTGGCTCTCCTGTCATCCACGCTGTTTTTCCTCCAGGTGCACAGAAATGGATGGCTTTATTAATTGTTCTCACAGCTCATCGAAAAGGCCCTGCCCTGTTCTCCCCAAATCCCCTTCAGACTGGAGAGCAGGCTTCACTTAGCTATGGTTGTTGCTGGTGTGGTGCTGGGTAACCTCCCCATACCTGGTGCGCTGTGCTTAGCTGTTGAGATTGCAGGATTTCGTGGAGGGGGAAAGGTGAAGTGGATTTGTTTTGTGGGCCCTCCTACTGAAAGAGCAGGGCTGCTGGGGAGCTGCTGGTTTCCAGTACAGTTTCCAAGCTTGCCCTGGTATCATCCTGTCTTCCTAAACAAGGTTTGTTTTGCAAATAACTCTTTCCAGGTTCTGCCTGGCTTTCTTGTCCCTATCTCTAACTGTGGGATAAAGCAAACCCTGCTCGGTGGGGAATGACATGCAGGAGCCATTTTCCTCTCCAGCCTTCTTTTCATCTCTCTTTGCTCCCATTAAGTGGGTGAGCAGAAACTTCCCCGGGCCATTCTCTTGGCTCCTTTATGCTTAGAAATCTTGTTCTCACTCCTTTGACATGCTTTGCTAATGCACTGCTGCAATGCTCTGGCTTTGCTTCTGTGCTGCTCTTTCTTGCTAATCCCAAAGAAAAATCTGCTTTCTTCTCCCATTCCCTGTTCAAAGAAGTTTTCAAAGGCTTTGTGACGTTGTGGTGGAAGGTGATGTGCAGAGTGTTTGTATCAGCCGGGTTTTCTGGCCTGTTGTGCCACCTTTGGGGACCCAGAAAAAGGAAGTTAGGAGGTTTTCTAACTTTTTTTTCTTCTTTTTCTTTGAAACACTGGGGATGACATTTGAGGTCCGTGCTGCTTTGATAGAGTGAGCAGTATGGATGTAGGCTTCTGGACCCTCACGTTGCAGCTGCAGCAATACACAGACACCCAGCGTCTTTCCAAACGGCTCACTGTCTGCAGCTGGGTGGGTTTCAGTGGAGTCTCAAAATAGTCTGATTAGGGATTGATTTCTGCAGGGGAAATTACACTAATTTGACTTTTAATTAGATATAGCAGTCAGCGTAAACCTTCCTCCCATTGTACAAATCTCTTAAGAGCTGCTTGTTGATTGGAAACAGGTTTAATTGATGGAACTTGCTACAAGATAGGAGTAGCAGTACAGTGTTGCACAAATCCAGCTATAATGACCCAAACTAGAACTGAATAATGTTTTCCTCTCATGGTCAATGCCTCCCATTCTTTCATCCTTTCCTCTGCTCTTTGTTCTCCAAGTGATGCATTTCATGCATTTCCCATTTCTCCAAAGTCTGTGAGCTAAATGAGATCCAAGCTACTAATAGAGAGCAAACAATTCTAAAAGCTCTTCAGCGTGCTCTGTACAGAAGCAGGAGAGGACACACACTGCTTTATTTCCTTGCAGAACGAATGTTACAGCTCTGAGCTTACTTTCTGGGGCTTGTATCTGCCTTCCTGAAGAGAGCTGGCAGCTCCCACGCCAGCAGCCTGCTGCTGCTCCAGAAGTGCTCCTGGGAGTATCCTTGTGGCTGGAGCAGCTCGGCCAGCCTGCAGGAAGCTCCTCAAGTTCCTCCTTGCTGCAGGCGGACACCTGGCTGCTGGCTGCTCTTCCGACCCCAAAAGAGGAATAAGCTCCAGCTCCCTGTGCTGAGCCTTGGTGCTGGAGATGATTCAATTTAGCTTTAATTTGAGCTATTCTTACCTTTAGAGCCGGTCGACTCAGAACTGCTTGTTATGTTGGAGCAGAAGAAATGCTGGGCAGAGATCTGCAGAGATGTCAGGGTCCTTTTGTGTGCCGTTATCCCGCCTGCTCCTCTCCCACATTTGTGCTAAGGCAGATCCAGGTCTGTCTCGACTACTTTTGGCCTACGTTGGAGTAAGCTGTTCTTGAAACCTGGATCTATCTTGAAGTGAAAACCTCAGCTATCCATTCCCTTGCTTCACAACCTGCAGGGTTAAAAGTATTTCCTCTTTTCCAATGTAAATCTTTTGTCTTAAATTAAGCTAAATATTTCTTGCCCCATCCCTGGGGAGCCAGGGAGGTATTATTACTCATTGTTCTCTTCCTGACCTCATTTTACATATTGGAGAGTGTTTGCTCTGTTCCTCCTAAACCTTCTCTTTGCAGACTAAATAGGCTTAATTTCTTCTGCTCTGCCCCACAGCTACAATTTCTGCTAAGCCTTGTGCTCTCAGTATTTGTCAGTTCAGCTTCTCTGCTGCCTCACCGTCCTTACAAACCTGTATATGTGTATGAATTCAGTGCCTCCTACAGCTGATGCCTGGCCCCAGCAGCAGTTCCTGAAGCCAGGGGCTCGTTTCTGCTTGTTCCTTCCGTTGTTGGGACCCACAGAAATGCTCCTGGACAGAACAGGGATGCTGGCTTACACTACTTGCAGCATCTTTCTGCCCTTCCTCTTCCCCCATCCCATCCCCCAGGGCTGCAGGAGGGGCCTCACCAGTATAAACTCCTCCTTCAGCCCCCGGTATCAGATCCCTTATTTTGCTTCTATTTATTTCATCCCTCAGTGCTTTTACAAAGCACAAAGCACTAACCAGGTCAGCAACAGCCTTATTATCACAGGCTCCGAGTCTCTGGGAACTGGAATCCCGTTGTTTGGATGAGCTCGTGTCACTTTTGCTTTCTGTCGCTGCTGCACAGGCGCTGACACAGATGATGTTTGACTCTGTTTTCTCTTTGCCGAGTGCAGCTGAGATGGAGCCCAGTGTGGGGCAGGCACTCAGGGATGGGAGCTGCTGTGCCACGGGGCTGCCCACCTCTTCCTGCAGGCTGCGGGGGTGGCTGCAAGTCAGGCATCATTAAGGGGGGAAGATGCTCCTTGGAGACAGCTGGCCGTGCAGCATCAAGTTCAGGGCACTCAGCACAGAATATGCAGAAAACTGGCTGCAGCAAGTCCTCTAGAGCTATCACAGTTTCATGCTGAGCTGTGTCAAAGCCGCTGTGCCTCCCGAGAACCAAAAAGCATCCCTTGGCTAAAACATCTTGCTTTCTCTCCATCAGGTTCGGTCCATCAGCATCAACGTGAGGAAGAATCTTGCTTTCAACACGCTGAGCCAGGAGCTCCTGCTGAAGGAATTCTCCACCATCTCTTGAAGCAGAGACGCAGCCGCTGCACAGGGCTGACTAGAGATGGGCCTGGCTGGACAGGGACACCCATCTGCAGCCTTCCACCTGCAGAATGGACTGCACTTCTTCCAGGGGAGAGCCTTGCTGCTGTGTGTTTGATCCCAAAGGCGTGTGTTTCAATGGGACTGTGGCTGAGGAGAGGTGGTCAGCCTATGGAGGAGGAGGAAGCAATTCTGTACCAGGGGGGTGGGCAGCTGTTTCTGTGAAGCAGCAATGGGAGATTCCCTCTGCAGCCTCAGGGAGGATGAACTGGAAGCCTTCGTAGCAGAGGTGAGGAGAGCTCACAACCAAAAGAATAAACTCACTCCAGCTGTGTGAGGCAGTGCTGGGTGGAGGTCGCTCGTCTGTTCTGTGGGAAAGTTCTCCAAGCCCTAAAAGCTGTCTGGATCAACCGTCCCTCCTGCACCATAGGTCAAATCCACTGCCGTCCTGCTGGGAAATCTGGGGGGATGTAAGATCAGTTCTCAGGAGAATAGGCTCCAACTGCTGCTGGTTTCACGTCAGACTGTGTTGCTTGAACCAAACCATCAAATTACTGAAGAAGGAGAAATTTTGCCTCCGAGGTCTGGTTGAGCCAGCGTGAGGGATATTGGCCACCAAAGTGAGTGCTGTGTAACTGGAGGCCAGCTCTGGCTGGGGTCACTGCTGCTTCCAGCAGCCCAGCACATCTCTGCTGTTTATAGGTTTGAGGGAAATTTTTAGATATTCCACTTCCATGGGGCAGAGGAGGGCCGTGTCCCTCCACACTCCCCTTGCTGCCCATCAGAGACTGCATTGTGACAATCCTCTTCCTCACAGGAACGTCTGTCTTGCCTGTGTTTGCAAGTGCATGGTGAGCTTCCTGAGCTGACAAGTCCCCAGTTTTTCCTTGTGTGTATCTTGCAGCTACTGCAGTTAAAACACAGATGCAGAAGTAGTTAATTCACTTTCTAGCTTGTCCTTCTGTTTTCCCTAAGCAGCCTGCAGCAAACGTTCCAAGAGAAGAGCTCCAGGACGGTGCTTAGGGGCACAGGGAGACCTTTCTGCTCAGCGTGTGGAGGAGCCCAGGGAGGGCAGAACCTGTGCTGAGTGCCGTGTCGGGCTGCCAACTCAGGGATATGCAGCATAAACACCTTCTCCCTGTTGTGCATTTTCAGCTCCCACCAGTGATGTTAGGACCTGGCTCCGTAGGTTGAACTCAAGTTGTTTGCATCCCAGATCTTTTTTTTTTTCTTCTAGAAAATGAGAAGGAAAAAACAAGTGCCTCGCCCTGCCCTTAGCCTCACAGGTTGGAGTGCTTATTCTCTGCCAGTTTTAGGCAATGTTTATTCATGTCAACACATACCAATTACTTTCATGTTTCATCTTTACCTGCCGTGAGGATGGGAAACCTAAAGCTGCGTCCTTGGCTGCAGAGCCTGCTAGGTGCTGTGTCCTCCTTGGGAGCATCAGCTTCTCCCCACAGAGGCTGCTTGCTGCAGCACGGAGCTGGCTGGCTTCTGTCAGCTGAGCCAGATCCCTACCTGCTGCTGTGCCGTGTGGGTGCCTGTCAGCAGGATGCTGCTGGGCCAGCAAATGGGCTGCAGGAAGCCACTCAGCTCGAGAGCAGGCTGGGGCATGTGGAAGGTGCTCATTTCTCCACTGGCAAAGGGGTAGGAATGGTCGCTGTCTCCCTCATGCTGTCCCCTTGCTGTGATGAACCTGGGCCGTGGGTGGGAGCAGCTCCTGAGGTTTTCCCCACCAGAGGCTGAGCTGGGGAAGACTGCCATGCACGTCCCCTTGTCGTAGTGTCACCACCCCAAGCACTGTACATTGGTGTACATATGTACCTAGAGCTCAATAAATAGCAGAGCCCTGCCTGTGTGGTGTGTGCGCTGTTTGTCACCACGGGGGCAGCTGGGGGTGGCCCTGTGCCCAGCATGTGCTGTGTTGGCAACCGGAGCTGAGCAGAAAGCCATGGAGCTCCAACGTCCTGCCCAAGGCTGGTTGTGACCCCAGGCTTTCCTGTGTCCCATCCGCACCCTTGAGTGTATTTTATTACACCTAATTCATAACCCAGTCTATTACTGGAGGAGCTGTTTCTGAGGCTTGGCGAGTGTGGGGAGAAATCAGATTCCTGCCTTTAAATTAGGCTGCCGCTGCAGGGAAACAAATAATTTACAAAATAATGACCAAATTCTGTAGGAGAAAAATGGAGTTTGAGCTAAACTTTGGAGAGAGTTATTAAAAATTGATTTGCAAGTGCTGCTGTGATTTTTGCTATCAGCCTCATGGCTTGTACAGGTCCCATTTTTCAAGCCAAGCTGAGGGAGAGGTGGCTCTCGGGAGGGGGGGGGCCCCTCCTCATCCTGCTCATTGGCCTTTCAGGAAGCTGCAAGGGGAGCGGTAACGTTGGGGAGCTTCAGGCAGCCGGCAGGGGCAGCGTGCAGCGGGCCTTCGTCTGGACCATGCAGTGAGTAGGAATCATAGGGCGGGCTTACATCGCCTGCTGCCCACCTGTGCTGCAGGACTTTGCCCGGCCCTGCGGCTGATGAAGCTCATGCTGGGCTCTGCTCGGCGGCCTCTGCCCTCCTGTGCCGTCCCTCCAGGGCTAATTGAATCACGGGGCTGGAATTGAATCCAATTGAATAGATCAAATGAGCTGGGTTTGCCGCTCGCTCGCTGTGTCCCGCCAGCCCGCTGCTGGATCCAGGAGCTCTTGGAGTCCCATGATGGGACGGGGAGGCTGTTGGCAGCCTGGGCTGTGCTCTGCCTGGTGCTGCTGAGGCAGGAGGGCCTTCAGCCCTCGCCGTGACCTGCAGCCCCACTGTGTTCTGGAGCCAGCAGTGCTGGGCACCGTCTCCAAACTGGGATTAATGGCACGTGCTGAGAGGGGCTATTGATGACTGTGGCTTTAAAATACTGCTAACAGGGGATAAAGCCTCGTGATTTAGAGCACTCGGCAATTACATCTCTGAATTTTCCTAAAGATAGGATCAGACTCTACGCCCTCCTCTCTGCTTTTCCGATAGAATTAATGGGGATGGAGATATACAATTAGACAAGGCGAAGGCTGGGAGGGCAGATCGATGCCTCGCGGTTACCAAATGAAGTGTTAAACTACGCCTTCTTCCCTCCCCGTGCCCCACAGCGGTGTGATGGGCTGATCCCAGCGGGCTACCGGGGTGAGAGCTCCCGTGGCCTTCCGCCTGGGTTTGCTGTCCTGCTGTGCCGGGCTCTTTGCGCCGTGCACGTGGGAGCGGCTCAGGATGAGGGCTTGGTGTTGAGCCTGGGATTTTTGGTGGGGTCTGCAGGAACGGATGCTGCCAGCAGCTGCTCCCAGCCCTGTGCTCATCCCCTCTCCTCCACACCAGAGAAAGCTGTGCTGGCCGCACGCTGCACTGTCACAGCCGTCCCCACGGAGCGGCAGTGCTGCTATCCTTTATCTAAGCGGTGCTGACAGGTGACTGATGGGCCACCTGGGAAATGCACCTCGTACCGGGTTCGATGCCATCGGCTGATGTTCAGCCCTGTGAGTGCACACGGGTGGCACCAGGGGTACAACACCCCTAGCGCCCTGCAGAACTGAGCAGGGATGGCTGGGGCAGGCAAGGTACAGCTGGCTCCCGGGGCCGGTCGCGGGAGACGTGCCCAGCGAGGGGGCTGTCCCCATTTCTACGCCGCGGGGCAGCGGGCCGTCCATGGGGCTGCCCCACGGCACCTCTGCCCCCCAACAAGCCCCCCGCCTTTCTCAGCCTGGCACCGCATCTCTGGCTGTGCTGCAGGAGCGCTGAGCGGGGATAAAAATAGCCGCGATCACCTCCCGAAGGACCGGGGCTGAGCAGAAGTCGATCCGCTTCCCCGCGCAGCGCCGCTTGGGCTGGCCGTGCCCGCGGCGCTGATCCCGGGCAGCTGGAGCCCGTGGGGCGCAGTTGGCAGCGCTCCCTTCGTGGCACCCCGAGTGTGCAGCCGCTCCCGGGGCCTGCCGGGTGCGCGGGGTGGGGACGCGATGCGGTGGCCGAGCGCAGCAGTGCAGGACCCGCAGGTGGGGGGGCTGGAGGCGTCCCGGGGGTTCCTCTCCGGCTCTGCGGCCGCAGGGAGGGAGCGTGTTTCCCCAGCAGCTCTCCGAGCGTTTCTCCGCCGCGTTTTCTTCGCTAAATGGCTCTTATTTTTAGATGCAGGCAGTTGCTAAGCATCGCTGCCTCGCTAAGGCGGCTGCTTTCGTGGCTTGACACCAAAGCACGCTGACAACACGCTGCCGCGTGAGCTCGGCCCTCCATCCGCGCTGCTCCGTTTTCCCTCTGCCGAGCGGTCCCCACGGGCTGCGATGGGTGCGTGGTTCGGGGCGGGATGCTCTGCCCTCCATCTTCCTGCAGGGAGCGGGACCCGAAGGGTGGCACACGCTGGATGCACCCAGGCCGCGTTGGAGGCACGGGGCACCGCTGTGCCGTGGAATCTTTGCAGCTCTCTCAGCTCCCTAGAACTGGTTCGGACACGGATGGCAGCGGATAACCGGGGCCGACAGCAGAACCGAGTGCGGCCGTGTGGCTGTGGGACGCTCTTCCCTGTGCCCCTGAGGGCCGCCTGTCCCCGTGCTGCTGCTTTTCTCCATCTGTGGGGCTGCGGTGGGGGGGGGGGGGGGAAGCGATCTTGAGACAGATCGTGTCGGGGATGGGGATGACGGAGATCCCGATGGGCTCGGGCCGCCCTCACCGTGCTCTTGCAGAGCGTTGGCCGCGCACAGTCCCGCTGCCCAGTTGCAGTCCGGCTTCTCCACCGGACAGTGCATCCCCCAGTGCTCCACCTTTCCTACCGGAGGTCCCAAGGAGGGGGCCGGGAGTGCTCACAGCGGCGTGCAGGGCTCTGCGCTCCCCCCGCCGCTCCATCCCCATCCCCGTGCAGACCCCGACCCCGGGGTCTCCGGAATACCCTCAGCGCAGCGGCTCCTCCAGCAGCCCTCCCTTCCCCTGCCTCAGTTTCCCCGCGACGGCGGGGCCGGGCCGGCGGCTCCGGGGAGAGGAGGCGGGGAAGGACGGGAGGGAGGGGGCGGCCGTGCCCAGCCCCGGCGGCGGCGGCGGTAGCAGCGGCGGCGCGCTCCTGCGAGAAGAGCCGAGCCGAGCTCCGGCACCGCTGCCCCCTTCCCGCAGCCGCGCGGGGCGGGGGGAGGCGGCGGCCGCGGGCCCCCCTGCCCGGCGGAGCCCGTGCGCCCCGTCGCGGTTCCCCCTCCCCCCCCCCTCCCGCGGAGAAGATGCGGAGCAAAGGCAGGAAGGAGAGCCTGTCCGACTCCCGCGACCTGGACGGCTCCTACGACCAGCTGACGGGTGAGTGCCGCCCCCGCGGAAGGTGCAGCAGCCGCTCGGGATCGCCGCCCCCCCGGCTCCGGCCCCGGCCCGCTTCCAGCCCTGCCCCGGCCCCCGCCGCCCCGCTTCGCCCGCGGAGCGCCGGAGCGGAGCGGCAGCTGCGGCCCCAGGGGGGCACCGCTCCCCGGGGAGGTTGGCAGCCCCGTGGGGAAACAACCCTCATACTCCCCGTGGGCGCTGGGGCGTTTGAGTCCCTGCCGGCCGCCCCTCAGCCCAGCTCCCGCATCGCCGCTCAGGACAGCGGGGTTTCGCGGCAGCCCCCCGGCAGCGGGGTTCCCCGGGAGCCGGGCCACCCAGCGGCACCCGAAGCTCTGGATCTCCTCCCCTCTTGAGTGCCCCCTGGGGCGCAGCAGCCCTACCCCAGCGTTGGGACGGCTATAGGGCAGAGAAGCCACATATATCCCATCTGCAACCCGGTGCCATCTCGCTCCATCCTCACCCCCAGCAGGGAATTGCCGGTCTTCCCAGTCCCAACCCGTTTTCCCCCCATCACACCTCGTGCCCTGCTCCTTCCTCACTTGTTCTCCGTGAATCTGGCCAGATCCTATCCCCTCGCAAGATGTCAGCAGCTGGGCAGTGGGGCTCCCACCTTCTAGGGCTGTGATAAAGCTGAGCCACTCTGGATTCCATGAAATGGGACACCAGGCAGCCCCCAGCCCCGTGATGCTCCTACAGACGTGTTCCAGAAGGGATTTCAGGAGCTCCAAGGGGGTGTCTGGGCAGGACAGGACCCTCACCCCATAAGCAGCCCCACGCAGGGATGCCCTGCCGGCTGCCTGCACCACCGTGCTGCAGGGAGATATTTTTGAGCTGTGTAGGAACTTGGAACCCACACACAACTTTTGGTTTCTCCGGTAACTTTAACACGTCCATATGGATTTAAATCAAAGCGAGGTTAAAAATAAATGCCAGGTTCTCCCAGGCTGAGACCTTTCAGGGTCGGGCTTTGAATCCAAGCACAGCACGCAGCACAGACCTGGGGACGGGGTCTCTGGGAGCCCCTGCAGCAGCCGGCCCACATCCCAGCATGGCCACCGCCTGCTGGATCCCCCAGGAATGCAGGGCTGTAGCAAAGCCTGCTGGCAGAGTAGCCTTCGTGTCCCCTGACCCATCGAGGGGACCCTCACCCCACGTTCCGTAGCTCATTTGGGGATAAGCATCCTGCTGCAGCATGGCCTGGGGACATCCACAGTGTGAGATGTGACCTGAGGTTGTCTGATGTCAGGCGATGGCACGTCCCCAGTGATCGTCCCTTGGTTGGTCTCCACCATCCCTCCCCTGCCAAAAACAGGAGGAGGGAGGCCAGGACACGATCTGTGAGCACAGGAAGGCTGCGAGCAGCCCCTGAGAGAAGAAGGGGCTGCACGTGGCTGCGGGTGTGACGTGGGCAGCAGCGGGCAGAGGGAAGAAATGCCACCAGGAAATTAAAAGGGTCCATTTTGGGGACAGGGAGATGACGCTAGTGAGAAATAAAAGCCGTCCATAAATTACATGATTCCTCTGGCCCTCTAATGACACGG